TTTTTTTTATAATTTAATTTAAGTTTAATAATGAAATAAATTATTTTTGGTTGAATAACATAACATTTTATAAAGATAATAATTAAGTATTTTGTTAGAACTCAATGATTATCCTAATTATATTTTAGATTTTTTATATTTAAAATTAGATGTTTATCATGTATTTGATTGTGTTTATCTGCAGTTAGTTATTCGAATTCATATATGAAATGAAATCGGATAAGGATAAAATCTGGTTTAAGAGTTTTTAAGAGTTTTAAGAGTTTTTAAGAGTTTTAGCCAAATGCTTTATAATATAGTATAGATATTCACATTTACAGTTACATTTTATTTTTAAGAATTGGTTATAACAACTTTTTTAACCATATTTGTAAGATCATCTCAATTTAAAGGTTTAGATAGGTTTTCCAGTTCTTTTTATTTTGCGATGTTCTCTTCTAATTTTTCCCTAGATATAAGATGAGATAAATGAAGAACCATGAAAAAGAAAGAACCCAAAAGCTGATCCAAACCGTTAGATTGAGATGATCTAACGAATGGTTAAAAATGTGGTTATAACCACTTTATAAAAAATATATATATAGAAACATCAAACACCATTTTTTTAAATCGAAAATCGGTGAAATACAATAAAAGTTTGAGCGAAACAAATTACATAAAAAAGATCACTTTATTATTTATGACTTGACATTCATTTTGATATAGTTTTCATATGTTTTATTTTTGTAGTTCTCTGGTTCTTTTTTCCAATATTATCTATTTATCTTTTCTCAAAATATAAGGATGAGATCAGGAGAGAACCTTGATAAAAAAGAGTTAAAGAATCCATCCAAACTTTTTATATTGAGATGATCCAACTGACATGATTTAAAAGATGGTTATAACCACTTGTTAAAAATATATATAAGTATAAAATAAACTACAAATGGGCCTTTGAGTAAAGACAAAACATTTAAGATAGAAAAGGATGAAAAGACATAAATACCCCTTACTTAGCGGACATATTTAATAGAGTTAATGAGCATTGTCTATTTTTAAAGTAAAATATAGACAATAGGGACGATAATTATAGTTATTGAATTATATGAATCACTTTCAAAGATTCGTATAAACTACAAGGACCAAAATTGTAGTTTATTTGATATAATTTTAAAGTTATTGGGTTACAACCCATTACAATTTCATTTTTTTTTTTATCAACCTAGATGTATAACGCGTTATGCGAGCCGACTAATCATCTACTTTGCAGATGGCCCAGAGTCATCATATTTGAACCTCCATGACCACAAGGGGATTTTTATTTCTCTTTGGATTAGAACCTGAGACTTGTTGATACTTTTGACCTTTGAAGTCAAACTCAAACCAATCAGACACCACTTTTATGGTTTTCATTTGTTTTTGTATTTTATTGGTTTTACAGTTTTTTTTTGTGTTTTTTGAGATCTATTATGCTAGATATATGGGGTTCATAAATGCTTGATATATGTAGTAAACTTGGAAATTCATGCTCAAATGTGTTTGATAAAAGCTGGATGGTTTATTTTAAATTACTGATAATAAGGACAAATTCAAAAATCAAAATAATTTAGTCATGGTTTTATAGAATAATTATTATAATATAAATTAAAATACGGACTTTATTTTTGCTATTTTGGGTTTGTTAAACACACAATAAATATTTAAGTTCTTAAAATATGATACACTAGTTTTTCTTTTAAATTATTTTTAAAATTTTAAAAGTTATTGAATGTTAGTGCATTTTTCATTTTTCTCTTGATGATTTAAATGATCAGATCGAGATATAACATATTAACGTTAAATATAAACAAATTAATCCTAAAATCTAATGAGTTAACATCAAATATTAACAAATTAGTGTACATAGTTTGTCCCTAAAAATAACAAATTAACCTTAAATTTCAAAAATTAACCCCAAATTTACTCTAAAATAATAATGTGTATTTAGAATTGCGTTTATTATATAACCATATCACTATTTTCAAAACTATGTTATTTTTTTTATCTCTGTTAACGTATGTTATTTTTTTTTATGTTAACATTAAAAATAGAATTAATTTAAAAAATATTCAATATTGAGCTATTTCGAAGGTATAAATGATACATTTTCTAACGGTGTAATTAGCATAAAAATATGTATTTTTTTAATGTATTTTAGTTAATAATTAATTAATTTGATAAATATATAAAATGAAAAGGGAAATGAAGGCATAGTTTGTTTTTTTAGAAAAA